TACCATACCCACTGAGCTACACCTCCAGCTGCCTCTTTTAAATTAGCACAGGGATTAGTCTTTCTTTGGAGTGTTCCTAGCATCAATTGTTTTCAGTGTTTAATCCTTCAAAAATCAGACTCCTACCATGATGAATGTGGTATGCCAGTTATCCCTGCTCCTGAGGAGGCTGAGGCAGGAGGATCCCAAATTTGAAACCAACCTGGACAATTTAGTGAAATCCTGTCTCAAAAAATAAAAAGGTCTGGGGGTGTAACTCAATAGTAGAGCACTGGTCTGTCATACTCAAGACCCTGGATATAATCACCAGTACCAGAAGGAAAAAAAAATCATATTCCTTAAAATTGAGGAGGAAAATACAAGATTTTTTAAAATTTAAAAAAAATTCATAATCATACAAAAGTCAGGATTTTTTGGTGGGGGAGGATACCAAGGATTGAACTTTGGGACACTGGACCACTGAGCCACATCCCCAGCCCTATTTTGTATTTTATTTAGAGACAGGGTCTTGCCAAATTGCTTAGTGCCTCGCTTTTTATTTCTCCTGTCTCAGCCTCCCAAGCCATGTGCACTACCACACTGGGCAAAAGTTGAAAAAAAAAAATTTTTTTTTTTTTTTGGTACTAGGGAGTGAATCCAGCCTTCTGAGCACATCCCCAGCCCTTTTTCATATTTTATTTAGAGACAGGGTCTCACTGAATTACTTAAGACCTCATTAAATTGCTGAGGCTGGCTTTGAACTCATGATCCTCCTGCCTCAGCCTCCTGAGGTGCTGGGATTACAGGCATGCACTACCATGCGCATGTTGAAAAATTGGGATTTTGTGAAAAGGAAAATCAAGTATTTTCTCTCCTCCTTGGCTGTTTGTAACAAGAGAAAAAGGATATATATTTTTTACTCTTAACCTTTGTAATTTTTAATTATTTGTTTTCCTCCTTTAGTTTTCCTTTATGACTGGAAATCATTGAAGTTCATAATTAATACCACACTTTTAAAAACTGAAGTGAAAAGAGTTTTATCTATATTCTCAGGAGTTTGCCAGTTTTTCAATTGAAAGAATAACCTGATATTAATTAAATTAGGGACTTTGAATTGGGGAGCTGGGCACAGTAGCACATGCCTGTAATCTCTGTGACTCGGAAGGCTAAGGCAGGAGCATCGCAAGTTCCAGACCAGCTTCAGCAACTAAGGGAGGCCCTAAGCAACTTAGCCAAACTCTGACTCAGAAAAGGGCTGGGGATGTGGCTCAGGGTAAAGCTCTAGTACTAAAAAAAAATTGAATTAGTGGCTGAGGGTATAGCTTAGGAATAGAATGCTTATTTAATGTACGTGAGGCCCTGGGTTTGATTCCCAGCACCACACACACAAAAAGCATTCTTTTAAAAGTATCCATTGCATTGTCCATTTTATAACTCTTAGTTTTTCTCAAAAGAAAATTCATTTCCACTTTTCCTGTCCAAAACCATGATGCTTTTTCTTTTCCTCCTAATATAGCCTTCTAGCCTAGACATCTAATAATGTGCTAAAGAGGCATCAGCATTTCCTGTAGCAGGTAGGTTCTATACTAAAGTATCCAATAGCTTGTCACACTTGACTTCATGGATACTGAACCACTAGTAACCAAAGGGAAAGTGGACACAAACCTTCACCACCTTTGAGCACCTATCTTTGGGAACCTTCTCTTTGCTCAGGACAGTAATTGTATGCTCTTTGTGAATATTTTAGTGACTGTTTCTGTTTTTCTAGCTGTGTAGCTTAGTTACTATAAGCATGTAGGGCTCAAATGTGATCTACATGATAGGTGTTAAGACTCCATGATTTGGATTTTAGAATTTTTCCCAAAATAAGTGGAATTATAAGCAGCACTTTTATAGTAAAATAGAACTTCCTGTTCTCTGTCTTCCTTTCTTCTATTATTGTCTCTTTCTTTACCCTAAGCATTCTTGACACAAGGTGATGTCTAGAAATGTGGAAATTGATTATTTTGTCTAAACTCATATTTACAAGGGAATAGTTTTTACAGGCTTATGCTAACAAATAATTGCTTAAGAAAACTGTATAGTAAAAAAAAAAAAAGTAATTTATCATGAACAAGCATCATGAGAAGAAAATGGCTATTTGGTAAACTCAGAAAAGTGACAAAGAACTTCCCTGTGCCCCACCATACTTAATGAACATGATAACCACTGTTTTAACTCAGGTCAAGACTCGGGAGCTGATTTCTAGAGGGCACAGTTGTTTAACATTAAGGAAGCTCTTCATTTGAGGATTATTATCTCCTAGTACCTAAATACAATACTTCTTTACAATGAACTAGTAATATGAATGTTTTCACCATCTAGAGAAGAGGGTTCCCTAATGAATAGATGAGGATGTTGCTGTGTCGAAGGGAAGTTGGACCCAAGGTATCAGCTTCTTGACTGTGGCATCTCCCCTTTCTATTCTTTATTATTTTCCCATCTTTATTTGCAGATGACAGTATCTCTGTATGACCAGTTTCAAAGTGGTAAACATGAGGATTACTGGAGAACATTTCAAGTGCCTCAGAAAAGTTTGAAAAAACCAAATATTTTTCACTACAGTTTCTTACTCTACCTCTTTTTGGCAGTGGAAGTAGTTGACCCTTAAGGATCTCATCTCCGTGAGCTATATGTGTTAGAATTAGTCTCCTTAGGCCTAACTCTTGTAACATTTGTTTTGTTAGGTTTGTTTGTTTTAAACATCTGTATTGAGAAGCAGTTTATACCCAAGAATTCACCTACCTCTAGTGTACAGTTCAGTGGTTTTTAGTATATTCACAGAACTGTGCAATTACCACCACAATCTAAGTTTAGAATATGTTTAGCAGCCCAAAAAGAAACCCTCTACTCATTAGCTGTCATTCCTCATTCCTCTCCCTACTCTTCCTCTACCCCCAGCAACTGCTGATTACTTTCTTTGGCTATAGATTGGCCTGTTCTGGACTTCTGATATCAGTAGAACCATGGACTCTGTCGTCTTTTGTAGCTGACTTGTTTCCTTTGCATAGTAGTGCCTTCAAGGTTCATGCATGTTGTGACAGTAATTCATTTTTTTTTATGTTTGAATGATATTCCATTACCACATTTTATTTATCTGTTCATCAGTTAATGGATGTTTGAGTTGTTTCCACTTTTTAGCTATTATGAATAATTCTGCTCTGAACATTCTGGCAAAAGTTTTTGTATGGACATACATTTTCATTTTTCCTGGATATGTAGGAGTGGTTTATGTGGTAAACTTGTCTGAAGTGGCCATGAGATTTCCACTAGCAATGTCTGAGGGTTTCAATTTCTCTCTACTTGTTATTGTCCATCTTTTTGATTATAGCCATCTTTGTAGGTATGACTTGGTTTCTTATGTGGTTTGGATTTTCATTTCCCTTATAACTAATAATGTTGAACATATTTTATGTTCTTATTGGCTATTTTCATGTCTTCTTTGGAGAAATGTGTTTTTTTATTGTTGTTACTTTTTTGGTTTTGTTTTGTGATACTACGAATTGAACCTTGGGTTTTTGTGTCACTGAGCTATGTTGCTAACCCTTTTCGAAGGCTGATGATGAACTTGGAATCCTCCTGCCTCAGCCTTCCTAGTTGCTGGGATTACAGACATGCAAATCCTTTGCTTCGTCTTAATTTTGTCCTTTTTAAGTTACTTTAGATACTTTAGATACAAGTTGTTTTTGAGATATGATTTGAAAATATTTTCTCCCATTTTCAGAATTATCTTCTCATTTGATGGTATTGTTTGCAGCACAACATTTAAAAACTTTTTTTTATAGTTGTAGATGGACAGAAAGCCTTTATTTTATTTGTTTATTTTTAATGTGATTCTGAGGATCGAATCAAGTGCTCTACCACTGAGCTACAGCCCCAGCCCCAGCCTTAAATTTTGATGTAGTCCAGTTTACCTATTTTTGTAAATTTTAATGGAATTGATTTAATTTATTTTCAATCCTATTCTGCCCCACTGAGTTCTCATTCCTACAGAAAGGAAGGTTTCTTTATTTTATGTGTGAATATGTTCAGTTACAAGTTTCTTAGGATGAGTTTATATATGTCTGGCCAGAGTTTTTGCCCTAAAGAATTCTTTCTCATGGAACACATATTTTGAAATTCTATGAGGAAGATGTATTTGTGAATGTATTTCCATTTTGCCCTGTTGCCCAAGCCAGCAATTATCAACCAGGATAATTTTGACCTCTCCTAGCAGAATATTGACTATTTCTAGAGACTTTTTTTAAAATTTTGTTTTAGATGAACACAGTACCTTTATTTTGTTTATTTTTGTATGTGGTGCTGAGAATTGAACCCAGTCCTCACATGTGCTAAGCAAGAGCTCTCTACCACTGAGCTTCAACTCCAGCCCTGGAAATACTTTTAATGGTCTCAGTAGGACAGGGGATGCTATTGGCATTTAGTGGATAGAGACAAGAGATGCAGCTAAAATCTAGCACATGAGACAATACCCCAAAACAAAGAATGATCTGGCCCCAAATATCGATAATGCTAAAATTGAGAAACTGGCCTCAAAACAGGTATGGGGGATTTTTTTCTTTCAGTTTGTCTTGTTAATTAAATAAAAGTTGCTAATCAAATAAAAGAATAATCTATGCAGATGGAATCTCTATAGATAGATAGAACTGTAACAGAACTTGTAAATTAGGGAACATTTTATTGAATTCTCAGTGCTGCCAATTATATGTAAATTACATTTATGATAATGGATACTATTTGGAGGAGAAGTATCAATTGGAGCAAAAGTAGATTATTACTTGTACCTCAGCTCCTGGCCTGCCCTGGACACATAACTTGGTAAATAGTCAAACTAGATAGAGGTTGAGATAGATGGTGGTCCTCTGAGAGACCATGATAGTGAAACTGTAGGGAAAACTCTTTTTTTTTTTAATGGTGCTGGGGATTTGATCCCAGGGCCTTGTGCATATGAGGCAAGCACTCTACCAACTGAGCTATATCCCTAGCCCCATATTCTTAATAACATACTCTTATGGCTGGCAATCTTCAGTCTGCTCCCAAAATTTACAGAACTAGCTTTATTCTCCTTACAAGTTGCTTCTGAAGCTGTATGGCTTATTTTGGACTCTGGATTCAGATCATCTGGGCTTAAATCTCAACTTTGCCATTTGCTTTGTGACCTTGGACAGACTGGACAAGGTATTTAACCCTCTATTGATTCATTTTTCCATGTGTAAAATGAGAGTGCAGCCATATCTATCTAATAGGAATATCGTGGGTATGAAATGAGCTAGTACACTTAGAGCACTTAAAACAGGCCTCTGATATACAGTGTTAATTCTATCACATATCTGTATTCTTTCAGCCCACTGCTATGGACAGTGCCATTACCCTGTGGCAGTTCCTTCTTCAGCTCCTGCAGGAGCCTCAGAATGAGCACATGATCTGCTGGACCTCTAACAATGGGGAGTTCAAGCTTTTGCAGGCAGAAGAGGTTGCTCGTCTCTGGGGAATTCGCAAGAACAAGCCTAACATGAATTATGACAAACTCAGCCGAGCCCTCAGATACTATTATGTAAAGGTAACACACATCCTGATCTTGATGCTATACAGAGAACCTCAAGCCAAGAATTATTTCTTCTCTTGTTGAGGTTATAGGTACTCATGTCTTGTTTTATTTTAATACAATTTATTTTATAGCCTTAGCATTTAGAATTAGGATACAAGGTATAAATGTTCTGGGTGTATTTCTGTAAACTCTCAGTAACCTACTCTCATTACATGTATTTTGTTCCCAACTACAGTTGTCTTTAAAAGAAAAAGTCCAGATTGGAATACAAAAAAGGAATTCTGAGGTTCTTGAGGATAAATATTCTCATGTGTGTCATAACTAACTTTAAAAATTGTCACGTATACTTTTTTTTATAGCTTTACTTTTTTTTTTCCCCCCCCTTGGTATGAGGGCTCCCAGAGGCTCTTTACCACTGAGCTTCATCCCAGTTCTTTTTATTTTCTAAGTTGCTTTGGTCTTACTAAGTTTTGAGGCTGGCCTGGAACCTGCCATCTTCCTGCTCCTGTCTCAGCTGGGATTATAGGTGTGTACCACCATGCCCACCTGCTTTGCTTAATTTTATTTTCATTTCACTCGGGGAGTATAAGTTAATACTTTAAAGAATAGCTATTAATATAGTTGATTTCCTAGGTAAAATTGTTTGTTTAATTTCTTACTATTTTGAATACATTCTTGGGCACTGAGGAAAAATAAATGGTCCAGAGACTTAGAATCTAAAAAACTAACTGTAACCCCAGCCCCTTGGGGGGCTAAGGCAGGAATATGTTCTAGGCCAGCCTGGGCAACTTAGAAATGAGCTCTTACTTTCACCTTTAAGTAGTTGATCTTTTCAGCTTTCCTGTACACAGATAAGAGGCAAGGATCAACTGGAATTTCTGAAGGAAGTAGGAACCTGCAATGTTCTGAATTCCTTTTTGCTTACTCAGGATGCCTATGGCTTATTCCTTTGGAATTATTTAAGATTGCAATTCAGTTCTGACTTTATACAAATACTTGGTTGATAGAGGTAAACAATTGAAATCATTCAGGTTTTGTGTAACATACTAGTTCAGTTGCTGATAAAACATTTGAGTGTTGTTGCCTTAACTTCTCCATCATAGTAGAGGCTGTGTTTGGTATAGCTACATGAATGTATATGATTTTGAGGCTTCTGAGTAAACTGTGCCCACTTCTTATCATTAAGCTACCTTACTCATAAGCTGTGGGACATAAGTTTATAGGAAAGTGTAAGAATGCTTATCTTCTTTTTTGTAGTACTGGGGATGGAACTCAGGGCTTTGCACATGCTAACAATGCTTATTTTCTTCACAGAATATCATCAAAAAAGTGAATGGTCAGAAGTTTGTGTACAAGTTTGTCTCTTACCCAGAGATTTTGAAAATGGATCCAATGACAGTGGGTAGGATTGAGGGAGACTATGAAACTTTAAACTCCAGTGAAGTCAGCAACAATTCCAAAGATGTGGAGAATGGAGGGAAAGAGAAACCACCTCAGCCTGGTGCCAAGACCTCTAGTCGCAATGATTACATACACTCTGGCTTGTATTCTTCATTTACTCTCAACTCTTTGAACACCTCCAATAAGAAGCTTTTCAAGTCAATAAAGATGGAGAATCCTGCTGAGAAACTGGCAGAGAAAAAATCTCCTCAGGAGCCAACACCATCTGTCATCAAATTTGTGACAACACCTTCTAAGAAGCCTCCCATTGAACCTGTTGCTGTCACCATTTCAACTGGCTCAAGTATTTCCCCGTCTTCTGATGAAACTATCCAAGCATTGGAGACATTGGTTTCCCCTAAACTGCCTTCCCTGGAATCCCCAACTTCTGCATCCAGCGTAGCTACCAGTTTTACCCCTACACCTCCTGTTCCGTCCATTCCCCCTTCTTTGAAGGAGCTTCCTAGGACACTTTCTCCACCGCTGGGCTCCAACCCAGACATCGACACAGACATTGATTCAGTGGCTTCTCAGCCAATGGAACTTCCAGAGAACTTGTCACTGGATCCTAAAAATGAAGATTCAGCTTTGCCAGAAAAGGACAAAACAAATAATTCATCAAGATCCAAGAAACCCAAAGGGTTAGAACTGGCTCCTACCCTTGTGATTACAGGCAGTGACCCAAGCCCACTGGGGATATTAAGCCCATCTCTCCCTACAGCTTCTCTTACACCAGCACTTTTTTCACAGGTAACTCTCTGTATTTTTAATGCCATTGTTTGTATTTACTCACTTCTTAAAACAAATCTAGAATTTCCACCTGCAAGTTTGTTTTCTGTTCTTATTCATCTTAGAAAGGTTATGTGTAATTTTTCACTTCAATCAGTTTTGCCAAAATAAAAGGTTTAGAGTATTTTTGGTGAAAATATATTGTTGTGTAAGTAAATATATATATATATATACATATATATATATATATATTTTTTTTTTTTTTTTTTTTTTACTTCCTCCTAAAGAGAGTAAATGTTCATATTTCTCTCTGGGTCTCGTGAAACTGTTACAGTAGTAAAAATCCTGAGAACCTTGAGAAAAAGGACTGATGTGATGTTGAATAACAAGTTTGTTTAGTTACAGTAGGTATTTATTAACTTGCTCATCTCATAGAACATTTTAATAGATAACTTCCAGACCATCTCATTATTAGAAGGAAAATGATGATTCACTTACCCACTATTCTTCTGCATCTGATTTCAGGTTTGTTTTTCTATTTGGGAAAGACCCTGTGTAAATTTGTTAAAAATTAGTTACTTTGACCTTATCTTTCTTAGGTTAGAAAAATGATCTCTTGAGATTTTCATCATAATAAAAGTTTTAGATTTAGGGATATTTGGAGTAGAGAATAATATTATATTTGGGTTCAGTTAGTATATTAATTTATTTATGGTTTGGCTACTTGTATACTATGGCAAGGATAAAGCATAATCCTGGTAAGTCTTTTAGTGGATATTTTTGTGTATTACAGACACCCATCTTGTTGACTCCAAGCCCCTTGCTCTCCAGTATCCACTTTTGGAGTACTCTCAGCCCTGTGGCTCCCCTGAGTCCAGCCAGACTGCAAGGTGCTAACACGCTTTTCCAGGTAAAAGGCTATCTCTTGTAATGTTAAATGAAGAGGTATGCAAAAAGGCACTGTCTCACTGTTCATTTTAGTCATTGTATAATTTCTATTTGATAAATATTCTTTGTTTTATTTTTTAATTTCTACATTGATTTTCTAGCTAGCGAGCAGCTTATATTACTATTCAGAGCAGTTTCCTTTTCATTATTTACTATTAATATTCATTTGATTTAGATCAAAAATTGTTTGATACTGAGATTTTTGGACTCATCCATTTTTTTTTTGTCATTTAAAATACTAGAACTCTTCTATCAAAAATGTATTTACACACACACACACACACACACACACACACACACACAGCTGGGTATAGTAGTACATGCCTATAGTCCCAGCTGCTCAAGAAGCTGAAAGAGGAGGAGGATTGCTAGAACCTAGAAGTTTGAGACTAGCCTGGGCAATATAATGAGACCTTCTTTCATTAAGAACAAATCTGTGTATCTGTAAATAGATATAGCTATACATAGGTGCGGGTCTGAACTTACAGTGGGTTTATACCCTGATGACCCCATTATTGTAAGTCAAAAATACGATCAGCTGAAAATACTTTTAGGCCAGGCACTGTGGTGCATGCCTGTAATCCCAGCTGCTCAGGAAGCAGAAGGATCCAAGTTTAAGGACAGCCTGAGCAACTTAGTGAGACCCTGTCTCAAAATAAAAAGGAATGGGGATGTAGCTCAGTGGCAGAGTGCTTGCCCTGAGGGTTGGTGCGACGCCCTGGGTTCAGGGGATTTAACAAAAAAGAAAAAGAAAATGCATTTGATACACCTCACCATCTGAACATTATCACCCAGTAGCACAGCAGTGGCACACCGTGGATCATCAGTTGCTTCCCTGTGATCTGGTGGTTGACTGGGAGGTGTGGTCCTCTGTTGCTACTCAGCATGGCAAAGGGGTGTATACTGCATGTTACTGGCCTGGGAGAAGATTAAAATTCAAATTATGGTTTCTACTGGATGCATATGGCTCTTGCACTGTCTTAAACCATAATATGTCAGGGACTGCCTTTGTAGATACATATACATATATACAGATATGTACACAGCCTCATGTTGGTGTGACAGGAATACATTCTTAGAAAGATGACATTAGGTGATTGTGTACCATACAAACTTCAGTGGTGTAGCCTGCTACACACCTGAGGGGGAGAGAGATACCAAGCCTAGGAGAAAATGATGCAATCCAGAGACAAGGTAAGCAGGAGGTGTGTGAGACTGCTGCAGGGAGAACATGGCATCTGTTTTATAGTGAATTTTGTAAGTGGAAAGCGCACAGTCTATAATAGTGATGAAATGTCTAGTGTGGTGTAGTAGAGACATAAACCAGTAGTAGTCATTGATTATCAAACATTAGGAACTGTACATAACTGTGATACTTTTTTTGAAATTTTTTTAGTTGTCGATGGACCTTTAATTAATTAATTAATTAATTAATTAATTTGTAGTAATGCTGAGGATCGAACCCAGTGCTTCACACATGATAGGCAAGCGCTCTATCACTGAGCCCCAGCCCATGTGCTCTACCTTATGTGACTGGCAGTGCAGTAGGTTTGTTTACATGTTGCACTGCAGCATTAGGACAGCCCTAGCATCATTAGGGGATGGGAATTTTTCAGCTCCATTTTAATCTTAGGGAACCACTATTGTGTATATGGTCCCTCGTTGACCAGATAGTCATCATGTGGCACATGATTGTGCATAGAAGAGCTCTATGTACAGGTTCTCTCTTTTTAAAATTTGACTTTGTATTGTGTGTGTGTGTGTGTGTGTGTGTGTGTGTGTGTGTGTGTGTGTATGTGTTTAGGTTCCCTCTTGGTTTTGGGAGTTATCAGGGACTGAACTCAAGGGCATCCAACTACAGAGCCCTATCCCCAGCCCTATTTTGTATTTTATTTAGAGATAGGGTGTTACTGAGTTGCTTTTTGCTAAGGCTGGCTTTGAACTCAAGATCCTCCTGTCTCAGCCTCCTGAGCTGCTGGATTACAGGTGTGCACCACTGCACCCAGCTAGGTTCCCACTTTTAATTAAGAATTTTGTAGTTTTTAAATAGAGGAAAGCCTTGAGAATAGTCTGTCAAATATTCTCATTTCCTCCTCACTCAGAATTGATATATATCAGAAAATGCATATAATCTCTTCACCAATATGTTAGGGAAAAGTCTTGCTATTTTTAATGGTTTTAAACATATTTGGCCCAAACATTTAGACTTTATAAATTGTAAACTTTCTCGTGGTCAATTTATTTACTTTTTCAGAGGTGACTATTCCTTGAATATTTCCTTATATTTTATAGTTATAATTTTTTTTGTTGTTCTTATGAAAGTGAATGGGTAAGGAAAAGAAGACAAAATTTAGGGATTTGGCATGTAGCATTGTGGTAGAACGCATGCTTAGCATGTGCAGGGCCATGGGTTCCATCCTCTGTGCCTAAAAAAAAAGAAAAAAAAACCCAACTTCTGCTTCTGTTTATTTACTTATTTATTTATATCTTTCAATGCTAGGGATAAACCCCCAGGATCTTGGAAATGCTAACTTGTATCCCCCTCCTTTTTAAAAACAAACAGGCTGTAGTGCATACCTATAGTCCCAGCAGCTGGGGGGCTGAGGCAGGAAGATCACTAGTTCAAAGCCAATCTCAGTAACTTAGCATGACCCTGTGTCAAAAAAAATAAAAAGGATATGGCTTAGTGGTTTAGCCCCCCTGGATTCAATCGCCATACTACCCCCACTTTGTTCCCTACCCCCCCAAAAAAAAAAAAATTCCTGAATTATTAAATGGGAAAAGTGTTGAGAATCTTCCATATTTTATTTTTAAATTTTTCTTTGCTTCTCCTGAGCACATAATTTGGGCAAAGTGGTAGTGCTTCTGTAGCTTTAGCCTAGAATCTTCCTAAGTGGGTGATCTCAGAATATGTGATGGGAAAGGAATGCTTTTCTAAATGAGCACCCTATCTTTCTGGACTTCTTTTTGAGGGTTCATGTTTTATTTTAAAACTGAATAACACTCTAAGGTGCATATTGTCATTTAGTTAACTTTTTAAAACTTTCATTTGAGGTTAAATGTAAACCTACATTATCTTGACATAATGAAATGTAAAGGTTTGTTCTTTATTTCCATTCTGTTGAGGTTGTATGGAGAGAGTTAATACTTAGAATGTTAGGACAAACACTTAAGGTTTTATTATGATATCATATACTTATTGATGAAGTTACTGCTTTTATCCTGTGAGCCACTGCAAAGTCTGTTTTCTATGTTCTGCCTTAGGGAATATAGTAGAAACAAAGTGAAAGTTGGGACTGAGTAGTCAGATGATAAAGTGTTTTTGTTTTCTTTCTCAGTTTCCTTCTGTGCTGAACAGTCATGGGCCGTTCACTCTTTCTGGCCTGGATGGACCTTCTACTCCTGGCCCATTTTCCCCAGACCTGCAGAAGACATAACCTACGCACTTTTGAAGTGAGAGAACCAAGGAACAAAGAAATAGACGCTCGACATGATTGCGTTTGAAGTGAGAGATCCATAGTTCTACAATGCTGATAATATACAATTGTGATTTTTGTCATTTTCCACTGAAATACCTTTTTAGGATTCCCTCCCATTAGGACTCAATTTGGATTATATGTAAAAATGCCTTAATTGGAGACAAACCTCCCTCTCCTTTTTTTCTTTTATATTTTGAGCTTTGTATTAAAGTAATTTTGGTGGGGTTTAGCAGCAATGCTTTGCAAGAGTGGTTAAGAATAGAGTTAACTCCTGGCCATTGGGACCCATTGACCAGGGGAAAAAATTAAAGAAATGTTAGGTAAATGAAATTGGCCGTATCTTTAGGACTAAGTGCGCTCTGTTGAATGAGTAAATGTGAGTTTTTTAAAGCAGTGGGAGAAAAAGAACCATTCTTCTTCATACACAGTAAGATTGGTGCAGTACTACTGAGGAGATTTTGTTTTGTGTGAACTGCAACATGTATAAGCAACTCCAAAGAAAGGCATCTTATTTCCATTTATTCTGGGTGGGTCTCTTAGCTACATGCATGGTCTTCTCACCTGTCAACAGGGCTTAGAGCTAGTCTATTTCAACATAAGATATTCAACTTAGGGTATAATATGGTTTTTTAGAACATTCAGTGAGACTGTGGGGACACCCCCCCCCCCTTTAGCACAGTAACGTCTAAACAGTGATTCCATACCCATAGAATACAGCATGGCACATGATGACTTCTAGGAGGGTGGACTTGGGTTTTGAAAATTGGAAGCATCTCTAAATTAAAGGTTTGATTACCTTGAAGCAACACATGGGGCTTTTCCCAGTTAGAAGATAGCCAAAGAGAAAGAATCTTGCTCCTTCCTATCTGGTTTACCCCATTTCCTGCTGTATATTTAGCATCTTTCCTTTTAAATCAGAGGTTATTAGGGGTTGTGACAGTGTTCGGATGTAATTAGGAAGGTAGACTGCAAAGAGAAGCCTTCTAATCAGTAGTGAGACAAAGATGTGCTTGTTTCTTTCAGTTTTTCTCTCTCTCTTTAGGGAAGAACAGATTTCATTTGGCAGTGCTCAGACATAGTGATTGCATTGTTAGACCTTCATCTCTATATTATAAGATTTATAAAATATTACCTTAGGTAAGTCAATGCCAGGTGTGGACAGATAGCTTGATTCCCAGACTGAGTTATACCAGTATCACAGTGGAATCTTTTGAGAAGTTTGGCTTTAAAGTCCAGGACTAAATTAACATGCTTCCACCACCACTGTGCCCATTAAATTAGTCTCTTAACCTTGTAGTTGAATCATGGGAACTAAGTGGAATGAGGGAGTAAGACTTGAGGGCTCAACATGACACTGTTACAAGCCAGCATCTTCCAGATGCATATTATTTGCTTTAAGTTTTATTTACATACCGTGTAGAAAAGCATTTGTGTAACATACTGTGCTATCTTATCTCATTAGCAGTGGAAGGAAAGTCCTCGATGAGCTGCCTCTGAAGGTGTGTGTTGGGGACCTGTTACTACTTTGTTGGTAGTTACCAGCTGAACGTTCTGTTCCTGAGATGTGCAATAGTAGTGTTGAAAGGTAGTGGTCAGTAGTGATGGGAACAGACATTGGACTTTCTTCCCATATTGAATTATTTAGCTTTCATACCTGTTTTAAATTAGATCCCTGAGCAGCTCTTTGGAATAGTTTTATTAGGCTAACATTTTGTATAGTAATTAAATATTGATGGTTGATTTAAATAGATGTTTTAAATTCTGAAAGCACAAAGGTATTTTTTTTTTAATCTTTGAGTTAAAGGAGAAAAGCCATTGGTTTATTTTCACAGATGATATATTTGATAATTTTCTGTCTCAGCACAAAGGTACCTTGGCACCATTAAAACTCAAGGCATTTCCCTAGGAAGCTGTTTTAACATCAGGTCTCCTTTGCTTTAGTCTGTCGCGGAAGCCTCTGAGAGGCGTGAGGCCTTAGGAGGTAGATGGTGCTCTGCTTTCTCTTTGAGATCAACTAAGTTGGGGAAGCCCTTGCGTGCATGAGTGTGTGTGTGTCTGTCTGTGTCCGTGTCTGTGTGTCCTTTTTTAAGTCAAGGTTTACAACCTTAGCAAGTGTGTGAGGCTCTGAGACAGCCTCCCTCCTGGAAAAGTCTAAGAACAATTCTTAGCATCAAAAGCATACCACATGGGGCGGGGGTTGTGGCTCAGAGGTAGAATGCTTGCCCAGCATGTGTGAGGCACTAGGTTTAATCCTCAACACCACATAAAAATAAATAAATAAAATAAAGATATTGTGTCCATCTACAACTAAAACAAATATCAAAAAACAAAACAAAAAAACATATGACTTAAGATGAGTATTCACTGGGGAGACGTGTTTCGTGGCGCAGCTGGTATCTCAGTAGTCACTTTGTTAGGATAATTGCTGGTGGGCAACGGTAGCCTAAATCAAAGGAGAGAAGCAGGCTGCCAGGGCCTTGGGATGTCCTCTGTGATCACTTCTTCTGCTCTAGTCATCTGTTGGAAAATGTTCAGCAGCCAGAATCTCTGAGGTGGCCAGGGGAACCCCTGAATTTATGGAATTTATCAATTTTCTTGATGTATATTACTCCACTGGGGCTGATTTTAAGACACTGCCATGGAGTTGAGAAGGGATATTCATAGTTGACCCAGAGTCAGTGCCAACAAACCACTGCATTTATTCCACCTCTGGGTGGATTTTCACGTTTAAAATAATTTTTAATTATATGCTGATTTGTAAAATTACCAAATTAAAATCTCATGTCTTGACTTTAGTAACTTTTTTCCTCTGACACTACCGATTGAACCCAAGGGCCTTCTACCTCTGAGCTGTATCCCCAGCCCTTTTTATTTTTTATTTTGAGACAAGGTCTTGTTAAGTTGCCCAGGCTGCCCTCAAACTTGACGTCCTCCTGCTCAGCTTCCCGAGTCACTGGGATAACAAGTGTGCACCACTGTTTAAATCTTTTTTTTTCCTCTCACAGTTCATCACAGTGCTTTTGTGATGTTATCTTTCTCATGGCATACTTTGTATGTTTGAACAAAGGGAAAACTTTCTTTAAAAAAAAAAAGTTTATACATAATTGAATCTAAGAGATTCTCCAAAGGTCAATCATAAGCTCTTATCTTTAAAATCTAGGTTATTTCCCCCCCACATTTTGGCAATTAAAATCTAGGTGTAATTTTTTTTTCAAATTTTGGTGTGGAGCCAGGTGTGATAGCACACACTGTAATCCCAGCAGATGGGGAGGGTGAGACAAGAGGATCAAGAGTTCAGAGCCAGTCTCAGCAATTTAGCAAGGCCCTAAGCAACTTGGCGAGATTCTGTCTCTAAATAAAATATGAAAAAGGGGGATGTGGCTCAGTGGTTAGGTGCCCCTGGGTTCAATCCCCAGTATCAAAAAAAAAAAATTTTTTTTTTTTTTGGTGGGGAAAGTAAGCCATGAGGCTACTGAATTCCTTCCTTCCTTCCTTTTTTTAATATTGGGGGAAATTCCTTGAAGATTTATTTGCATGCTATATTAGAGATCAAAAAAGGCATTGACTGGCTGTTAAATCTGAGACTTGGAATTCTGGAGCTGTAACTCCAGGCTGTTTATGGTATCACCGCGATCCTGTTCCCACCAACATTGGGCAATGTCTACTCTGGTAGCATTGTTTCATTCTGATTTTAGAATTTGTATTATAATTCCAAAGTTTTAAAAGGTAACTTTATGTTTCTATCAATTTAAGACACTCAGTGGTATTTCAGAAAAGTGTTCTCTACCACTGAACTACATCCTCAGTCCTTTTTAAATTTTAAAACAGGGTCTCACTAAGTTGCTGAGGCTGGCCTTACATTTATGATCTTCCTGCTTCAACCTCCCAACTACACACTGGGATTACAGATATGTGCCATCATGCCCCAGCAGTCTCTAATCATTTTTATCATACCCCTCATCAGTAAATTTTTGAAAACAGAAACTTTCCCTATGAAAAACTCTCATGTGTTTCTGTTATTATATACCACTACACTAAAGTAACATGTATGCATCATGCATATTATTTCTGACAGCTTGTTATCTCTTTCATCTTTGTATCAAGTGTGCTTAAAAACTTCTTTTGTTCTTGTGTTATATTTTACTAACATTCAGATTTCTTTATGCTAAGATATATAACAATTTCCACTTTGTTGCTGTATTAATAAATGTGTGTGTGTGTGTGTGTGTGAGAGAGAGAGAGAGAGAGAGAGAGAGAGAGAGAGAAAGAGAGAGGAGAGAGAGAGTGCCCATGAGGGAGAAAGAGAGATATAGCATCTGAAGGAATTCTTTTCTTGATGAGTCTATTCTGCTTATTGCTTTATTTACTATATATGTTTTATTTACCCCCCAGAAATCTAGAATTGTGCTGAAGTGCCCTTCTAAGGTGTAGAAACAATTGTGGAGATAATGCAGGTTGCTGGGCAGAAACTTGGGGATCTGAGTGAACCACCAAACCCAATTGGAAAGTTAGAAAGATGTACCTATTATCTGAGGATGTGATAGAATATAGTATTTCTAAACTGGAACCAGGCTGTTAAATGTCCAGGCCACAGTAGTTTGAATGAAGTGAAGGTCAACCATGATTATCTTTCTTCAGCAGGTGCTCTGACCAGAGAAGCATTCTGTGGAAAGTATTTTAATTATTTTTTTGGTCTGGGATCAACAAATAAATGTTTTGTTTTTGTTATCAATGCTGGCATTGCCTGAAACAGGTGCCCTGTTTTAACATGAGAACCATCCTCACTGAAGGAAAAAGTTTTAATCTTGGAGTCTAGAATTCTTTGCGGAGTGGTGGTGGTAGTGTACTGTATTAAGCAAGAACAGGAGGTGCTTGATTTCACTTCTCATTCTTGGTAGAACCTGCCACTATCAAAGTTGTGTTTTGACTATAATAAACACAGCACATGTGAGAGGTGAATTGGTGGTGGTGGTGGTGGTGGTGGTGGTGTAAGTGGCTTACGAATGCTCCATCTGAAGCTACCAGGGTCTTCAAGCTGCTTTTCTGAACAGAGAGATACCTGGATAGCCTGCCAAAGAGCAGCCATTTTGAGAATGCTGCTGTTCATACTTAGCCATTGTGAAAGATGGAAACCTGGAGGTTTGTGCGAGAGGGGAAATGTTGAC